TGATTGGGAATTAGATCTAGAAACAAATTGTGTGTTTGAATTAGATCTGGAATTGTTATTTCTACTATTTGGTCTATTGTAGTAATTTTGTGACGAATTTTGTGTATTTCTTCGTTCTGGCGATCTTCCTCTATAATTTGAGTTATGTGGTGATTGATTTCTAGTATAATTTGTATTGTTCGGGAGTGGTTTTCCTGAACTGTTGTTGCTGTACACATTTTTGTTCGGTAGATTTTGATCTTTTTTCATGTATTGATAGAATGGTTTATTTGGTTCTTTGTATTTTTGAGGTTTATTTTGATTGTCGTGCTGTTTTTGTCTACATTCAGAAATACTATGTCCGTATCGTCGGCAATAATTACACCATTTTTTGAAAGATGGTTTGCCTTTAAAGTTTGGGTGTTTTTCATAAATATTGAGTATTTCAGTGATTTTTTCAACAAGGTCTGTATCTGATTCTTGTATATTGTTGATACTTGTGGTATTCGTTTCAATTCGATTAACATATTGTAATTTCAGATTTTCTGTTTCTTCGAGTTTCATTGTGATTTCTGCTTGTTCTAGTTTGTCTACTAATTTTCGAAAATCTAAATCGGGTTCTCGAATTGAAGAAGGATGGGATGCTCTCTTTTTTATTGCTATTTTCCTTAATTGCGGTGTTAAGGTCATCATTAGGATTTCTGTCATCTTTGTGTTTTTATAGTCATGTGTATTTAATGAATATGCTTTTTGAACCAGTGTTTCGATGCGTACTGCTAATTGCTTGACGGTTTCATTTGGTAATCTGCGAATTTCATTACATAAAACTCTTTGTTGTTGTTTGTTTCTTTCGGAGTCAAACATTTTTGAAAATTCTTGTGTAAACCTTTTCCAATTTGATTTTATTTCTAGAGGCAATACTGAAAACCATTTTTGGGCTGCGCCGTCTAGGGTTGTCTGTATCAACGCTGTGCGTCGATGTATCCAGTTTTGATGTAGTGGCGTATTAATTGGTTCAGGTCCTATATTTAAAATCAAATTTGCTGTTACTTCATTTAAATAGTCTTCTACAGAATATTCAGGGTCTGTTCCTGTGAATACCATTAAAGTTTTATTTGATGTTATTGATGATCCACCCATAAGGTATGGATTCATTGTCATTTGTAATGATTCTGCTGCATTTGGCATTTGAGAAAAATTTGAAAGTTGATTTCTTGTTATTTCGTGTTGTTGAAGATAATATGGGAGTGGTATTTCATTTTGCATTTGTGTCGGTTGATACGAGTGTGTGATCATTGGGTTTTGTTGCTGAATTGGTTGAAAATATTGTGTATTGATTGGGTTTTGTTGCTGAATTGGTTGTTGATTTTGTGTATCTATCGGTTGTGGAGAAAAAATTCTATGATTTGTATGTGGTTTCTGTACTCCTTGTCCACGATATTCTTGATTATATGGTGCAAATATATCTGGTTGTAAAAAATCATCATCTGAGGATAAGTAATCCATTTGATAAGATGTTTGTTTTTTATTTTTATTTTGTTGAAAAAATGGATAGTTTTCACTACGATCCTGTGGAGGATGTAAATTTGTTTGAAAATTTACTGAATTAGTTTGTGCCATTGGGTTATTCCAGTTTCGAGATCTTGTATAATTATTAAAATTTCTTCGTCGGGAATAATTTGTTTTTGATGAATGTGTGTAATTATAATTATGTTCTGCAAAATTGTTTCTAGTGAACGTTTTACGTGTTTTTGAGGGTATTGTCATGGGTCTGTATGTTTGATAATCCATGTGTGAATATTTTGGGGCAACCGAAGGTTTAACGGTCGATTGTAAGGTTACCTGTGTTTGTGAAGAGTTTGTATTTCTTGGTGTTGTTAAGTTTGGACGTATCGGTGAAATGCTTTGTTGTGTAGTTGTTGTGTGTACGATTTCTTCATTTATGAAGTGTGATGGTGTCTGGATATCTTGTTGAGTGAGATTCCTAGTTCCATTGAGGTTTTCATTGTGTATGACTGTGGAGTTTAAACTATTATTTTGCATATCAGGTAAAAATGTATTATAGTTTAATGGTGTTGCATCAATGGTTAATGGTGTTACTTTTACATAATCTCTTACATAAGATATTGTACTTATTGCTTGACTGGAGATTGATTGTGGGATATTTATGAATGCATAATGAGACCATTCGGGGTCCCAAACATAGTCTGATTGTTCTGTGATGGCAGTATCATCGTTTGAGTTTTGAGGTCTAAAATTTTTTCTTGCATGTGAAATTAAATCTATATTATGTGTGAAATAATCTATTATAAACCATGCCAAAATTTTTTGTAAGTCGTGTTTTGTATGTTGTGAAACTTCATCTTTAGTGAAATTTTCTTGAATTATATTTAGAAAACTAGAGAGTAGTGTGATTTCATGTCGTACTCTTATGTGTTTAGATGTTTCTGTCGGTGAGACATTTGGGATTGGGATTTCGTTTTCTAATATCGAGATATAACTATATATTATTGCAAAAACTTCATTGGTGAATATGGAGTTTGCTCTCTGTGAGTTATGATATTGTATGCTTTTTATATATTCTGAGAATACTTTTGAGAATTCTAAATCAAGGTCGTCTGTTTGAATTACATATTTGCTGTGATTCTGGTTTGGTGAGCTGAATTCTATGGAGTAGATTCCGTATTGTTGTGTTAAGTTACATATATCTTTCAGATAGTGATCGATGATTTGTCTTTTGATCTTTACATCTGGGAACTCTGTTTTACATGGACTGATTCCGGGTTCAAACAAATTTAAAAGTAAATTTTTGCAAAGTATATGCTGTCCTCTATCAGTAGTTGCATCTACAATGAAGGGGAATATATCATCATCATCTGGACTTTCTTCACCTGGGGTGTGCGTTGAGCTCATTTTTTCGTTTGATGACTGTTAATATGTAATTATCAATGTGTCTAATTGGTTGATTCCAATTGTATAAATGTACTGGTTTGTGTTTATATTGCTTTTTTATTCTTCTTTTTCCTCTTTTTGATGAATTTGAAGTTGTTTCGGAGTCGGAAAAATATAATTGATCGTGAATGGGGCAATTTTTATCTATAGATTCTTTTAATTTATAAAGTTCGTCTAAACTGCTGGTTTCTGATTCTGAAAATGCGTTTCGGTTTTTTGAAAATCTTTTTCGTGTTATTTGTCTTTGTTTGGTTATTATTTTTCTTTTTAGTGTTTGTCGTTTTGTTCTAGTGTATCCAACTGTTTGTGTATGAGGTGTGATTACAAGGTCGTATTTTTTGTTATCTATTTCACAATTGTGTAAAACGATTGTTTGTTCATTTCCTAGGTTTTTAAATGACAGAAGGTTTAGGATGACGGATGCAAAAGGTTGTTAAATGATTTCTATTTTCTTAGACTGGTAGTCCTTACGATTTTTTGATTAGCCTAACCTGGATCTATTTGTTCAGGGTTGGAGAGAAAAGTATATCGATTCCGAAGAATGATTTTTTTACTTTCTCGTGGCTAGTATAAGCTAAGGTGTTAACTTACTTAATCTTACTTAAGGGTAGTGATTGTGTTCAAGGGTTGGAGAATAGTAAATCGATCCACAAGGTTCAGGTATAATTAGAACGCGAGTAGTTCGTTAGATACTATTTTAAACTTACTAAGTCTAAGATTTATCCTGGGTCTGGTAAGAGGGGGGATCAAGTGAAGGATGAATAACCGAAGTTCTTCACTGTTTATCCTAATTTGAATGATTAGTTTTGTTCAAAAATTTCTGTTAGTCCTGGGTTTTTAGAAAGGGTTGGATAGTGAATCGACGTTTGAGGTCGTTAGACACTAGCTAAGTGGGTGGGGGAGAACAAAATTGTTCTTTTTGATCCAAGGATAGGCCTTGATGATCAAGTTTTAAATTTAATTAGATAGAAAATTATTTAAGATCCAAGGATGAGCCTTGATGATCTGATTTTAAATTTAAGTGAATTTAAGTTTAAAATGATTTAAATTTGTGTAAAGAAAAGATTTAGTGTTTTTATGATATTAGTGAGCTTATGAATGCTGTTATGTTTAGGTGATGAAGCTGGAACAACAGGATGATTTATGATTACTAACCATTTATTGTCATGCTACTAATTTTTATTTTGATTTTTCAATAAATATTTTTCAAACATGTTTTATATATTACTGCAGAATTTAGGAAAACGATCAGAGATCTTTTTATCAGTCGTTATTGTATATTAATAATTTTGTTTAGCGCCTGAAATGATTTTGAAGATTGACTTCAAAATTTTATGTTTGCAAATGAAAATCTAAATTCATTGCTAGTAGTATTCTAAATACAAAAGTTTGTGTTGGCTTTTGCCGAACTATCATATAACTATATGGTAAGTTTCTACTTTGTCGTATGTCGTCTCTGGTTCGAGGTCTTCTTCCAATTCCGGGTAGTTCTGTTATTGTTCGGAATATTGGCTCTGATCTATTGAGTCGTAGAGACATTTCGATTAAATTATCGTCGTATAACATTTTGTTAATGTTTTGTCTAAATTCTAATCTGTTTTTGGTTAATTCTAAGCTATTAAGGTCTTGTTCGAGACTTATGGTCGCACCAGATGAGTTATGACCGATGGGTATAACTCATAGAGCAATTTCGGATAGGGTACACCGTCTGCTCGTCACGCTATCTTATTTTCGGCCGGATAGATTCGTGCAACTTCTTAGTCTAATACCAATCCTAATCTTACTCTTATACTATCTAGTCTCAGGTTGTTTAACTAGTCTCTGCTAGGCTCAATAGATCTAGGGTATACTGGTTTATTGCGGCTGCTGAAGTCTTCTTGGAGAGTCAACTAATTTCTAAGTTAAATTCAAATCTCTCTGGTGCTGAAATTACAAGTAATTTCAGCACTTACAAATAAGTGGATTGTTAGTCAGATGGATCATGATTGGTTAATATTAAGTACTTTACATTGGTAAAATATCTAATTTATCCAATCATAAAATGTAGTTTAGATCAGGTTCCACTTTAACAAGAAATTGAGTGAAAACTCGAAGCTTTGGCTGCGATGGACGAAAAGAAAGCAGAAAAAACTGAAACTGTGGGCGGGCAAGACTTTGGATACTGCTATTCCAGACGGGGACAATTTCGTGGAGGCGATTGCGGGAGGACTGGCAAACATACTCGGGCTAACACTCACTGGTATTTAAGTTTCTTCAAAGTAAAAAGTACAAACAATCCGTACCTGATTTAACTACCCGCACCGCAGTTCCATAAACTTTTGCATCATTTGGCTGCCGTTCTCTATAACTTTTCAAAGTAATCGACTATAATCGTTGTAAAATGAATTAAAAGGCTATTGCTTGACGCGAAAAAATTCATTTAAGATTAATTTAAATCGATTATGATAGATTATAACAGTGTTTTCTAAATAAAATCAGAACGTTTCAAATTTCTTGTCAATTTTTTTTAGTGTCAGGGTACTCGGAATGCTTATGAAAGATTTTTTCGCCCATGTGATCAAATTTTTGCGTTATTTTTTTCATACTTTATTCTGTTTCCTAATCTTACTCTTCTTCTTTTATTGTTCCACCTATCGAAGAAAAATTGGAAATTTTTATGCTGGGGGTGAATTTTTTATTCAATTAGTTTAATAGCAAGCGTTTTTGACAAAAATTTTTATACCATGTTAAAATGTGTAAAAATTTCAATTTGTGATCCTTTTCAAAAGTAGTGGGGATTTGGAAACTGCTCACTGGCCTGCTTGGGATAGTTAATGTGCGATACATTGCGTGCTTAAAACACGCATAAAACATATTATTCAGTCAAATTATGACAATACGAGACGCTAAACACATTCCTTAATACCATGTGGGAAAATTTTTTTTTTAAATGTATTTTAGTTTCTAAAATGTATGTGTAATAGCAACTTATCAATATTCAGGCATTTAATGTAGCAAGGACCGATATTTATTAGCCTCGCGGTAAGCAAAGGTGTTGCAAACGGGTAGTATTTTTCCCCTTATATGTTTTTATTCACAAGCCTGCGCAAATGTTTTATCTCGCTTCACATCAAATAAAAAGAACTGGCATTGAAATAACACGCCTGATTGAGACTACAAAGGATTTTGGTTCAAATTCGGTCGTGACCTGTTTTTTAAAAGCAAGAAAACGTCTGCTTTTTCGATCTACTGTCCGTCTGTTCATGTTTGTCGGCTTAGTTCGCGTAGCACGGATTCTTTTTAAGTGGTGGAGGTAATTGAAATACAATATTTTTCTGCTTTTGTGGAGATAATTGAAAAAGATAATTTTTCGCGGTACTTAAGTTTCATTTTTTGAATAAATTTTTTAAAAAGTTTTTAATTCAAATTGAAATATTTATTGATTTATTTTTGTTCCGGTAATTGATGTTCATTAAAATGTTACAATTATTGCTCTCGCGAGTAGCAAGCCTTATCAATTCACAACATGAACTCATTCTTGTAAGTAGTATTGTATCGTGTCCCGGATCCTAAGGGGGGGTCCTTCCTAAGGGGGGGGTCCTCACGTAAAGCAAAATCCTAGGAAAGGGGTCCTTAATTTTTTGGAGGACCCCTATCCTAGGATTTTGTAAATGATCGCAAGTTCCCACCCCTAAAGTAAAAGACCCCCTCCTTAGGATCTTGTTAAGCTGAGCTCAACAACCGGGACGCGATACAATAATTCCTTCTAATTCCTTTGAAAGCGGTCCCTTTTCCCGCGATAATTAAAATTAATCGTCCTAATTCCTGAACTTTTCTTTTTTCGTCCTAGTTTCATGTGGATATCATTTCCTGGCTTTCTTTCTTTCTTTTCGTCAAAGATTTGTCATGCTATTAAAGTTTGTTATTCAAAACAAGCCTAAGGATTTCACACATTTGTTTGAATTAACACTTGGTTTGCGTCTACTAGTTTATTTGCCTGAAGCTATTTATGTTAAAACAGTGATTGAGCTCAATACGAGTATTTTATTAGTTGTAAATTGGTAAAAACCAAAACATATACAAGTCGAAGTATAAAAAGGACGAACAGTAAAAATCATCTGAAAATATATGTTTCAGACTTTAATGTTTATTGTTTTGGTTTTCTTTGCGCTGTTTCTTAGATGGTCGTTCTTCTGAAGCTTCAGATAAAATAAATGGGTTTTTTATAGGGGGACGTTCACGGACTCGGCTACTAGAAGCTTCTTCTTCTTCTTGCAGCTCTGCTTCTGAGTAGGGCCGCTGTAAAAATCCCCAATCCGGAAGTGTAAAATCGGGAGAACTGTTATCAGTTTCATTGTATGAGTTGGCCCACTCGGTGTCCATGTAAATGTCTTCTAGAAAAGCATTTTCTTCAGCGGCTTTATGGCCAAAGGGCACTGTCGAAATTCCGTCGAAAAGTAGAAAACGTTTTGAGTCGAATGGTGATAATGCAAGTTTGTTTTGTTTCACTGTCATATTGGTGTGACCTTTCGAAACTATATTATAGTTGTATACTCTCATTGTTTTTCCAGTGAATAATGTGTCCCTGAAGGTTTGGTGGACCAATTCTCTCTGTGCACTCCGTTTAATTCCTTTGGCACTCAATTTTTGAGTGCCTTCTAAACAGAAGCAATATTATTATTCTTTTCTACAACGTAGGGGATAGCTTCATTTTACTTCAGCCACTCAATTTATACCGAACAAAATTTGATTCATTTTACCAAAAAAGAGCAGAAGACTCCAAATTATGATTAAAAAAGTGGAAAAAAGAGGGAAGATGTTGTCAGATAAATCAACGTTTAGGCAACATTGTATAATGTTGCCTAAATCAGCTAAATGCCCATAGTTTAATGCAACAAATTAAGGGGTGTAGGTAGGTTGGTGGTGGTATTTTTGTTCTGTAAAAGGTAGGAATAGGGGGTGGAAGGGTGGCTTAAATTTTATTTACCATTAAGGACGACCGAATATAGTTTCGGTTTTAGGGCGATGAATTCTCTGATCGGCTTCCCACCAGTCTCGTCTTTGAACTTCAGCACAACTTTCTTGTTGGTATCCTCGAACAAGAAATGGTCCTTGTCGTAATTTGAAAAATCGAAACCAGCTTTTATTTTCTCCAAGTCTCGGTAAACGTCATCAGTTTTTATAGCGTAAATAAAACTATCCGTGTCCGAGTAAAGGAGTTCCAAGTTTAGATTTGGTTTCATTTTTTGATAATGAAACTGAAACATGAAACGCTTGGCGAGGTCTAGGATGGTCGCACCAACTATCATAGGTTTATCCCATAATATTTTTGTTACTGAAAAGCTAATTGTGGCTAATTGATCGTCAATGATTTGAAAGCTTTTCATTGTGCTCAGAGCTGTTTTTTGTAAAAGTTCTCTCTCATTCCTTACAATCTCCAGCTTCTTTCTTCCTAACTTAGACTCCATTGTCTTACCGAAAGCTGAATTAACAATTAGCTTGTAGAAGTTCTCCTGGAATTTATTTACCGCGGCTTTTCGTAGGCGGGTGTTGAGTTCGACAAAGGGTGCCATCCAGTGACTTTGGCGGAACTGAAGAACTTTTCCGAGGTGAGTTATTTTCATTCCCAGCTCATGGTACAATTTTAGGGTAAGGTAGTGCAAAACATAACCTTCTTTAGGATGCAAGGTCTGTAGAAGCTTTGGCACTTTTGGCAGTGTGGTGATTCCCAATTTTCCCAACATGTCGACTTGCTCGTTGCTCATTGCACCGATGTCCACTACTTCACGAGAGGGGGCAAGGGGGTAATCAGCAAAGAAGTCGTTAAGCTCCTCGGGTATGGTTAAATTGACTTCAACTATATAACCCCACTCTGAGGTTTCGCTGGTGAGCAGTATGTCTGCCAGACTTTTTTCAACTATTGAAAAATCGTTTAAGGGCAAAGGGCAGTGTTTCATTATCCCCCCGTACAAATTGTTTGCATCAATATTGAGGATGTAGCTTGATGGTTCTGAGGGCGAAAAATCGTCGAGGTATTTATTGTTTGCTTTGTAAAATCGGCGCGCGTAAACCGACGACATGCCTCCTCGTATCATTCGCTGCACAAGGTCTAGATGTTCACGGTCCGTTAAGAGTTTCAGTTCGGGCTTACAAACTTTTAGAAAGGCGTCCCCGGAAAGGTTACTTGCCGTGAAGTAACAGGCGCAATCCAGCCCGTATGTTTGATAGCAAACTTCACGAAAAGCTTCGAAAACGGAAGCAAGCAATAGCACATCTGTAGTCAAGTACAAGTCGTGGTAATCACCAAGTGAGCCACACTTCAGTTCGGTGAAAACTTTAAGGGCATGATTGTACTCGCTTCTTGAAACACTCACATCCCCTCCTGTTAGACTATTTTTCCACATTGCTCGTGGGGGAAGGCGAGTTTCTCGGAATTTTTCGAATGAGTTGAAGTATGAGTAGGGGTAATGCCCTTTCTGTTTCAACAGACTGACTTTTTCACGTGAGTGGCCGAGTTTTTCAAAATAGTTCTCCAGCAGAAAAAACTTTTCGTTGGGCAAATTATCGACAAGTTTTGCCAACGATGCTAGCATGAACCTATACGAATCGATGAATCTCAGATTTTCGTAGAGTTTTTTGATTTTTCCGTTTTTGTCCGTGTACGTTTTTATGTAGACTGAGATTGTCAAGGATATATATTTTTCTTCAGATGCGGGTATTACGGAAAAAGTGTTTTCCGAATCGCTTTTTGCCAGCGCTTTGATTATAAAGTGTAAATCATAATTTGACAAATTATGAGCTACCACTGGAATGTAATTTGTTGTTTTTCTATTAACGTTACACTCATTGTGTGCCCAACCCAGAAACTTGTTGGTGTAATGGCAATGATCAAGTACCACTTGATCATTGTCGGAAAAATCATTCTCGCATATCCAACAAATTGTAGCATCTTCCCGTTCCTGGTCTGTTATACCAGTGAAAGTGTAATATTTCCTTTTTTCTACGTAAATTTGTCTCGCTAACGATTCAAGGGAGCTAATTAGCTCTTCCATCACATTCGGTCCTCTTTTAAGCTCAAACTTTAACAGGTCTTTTTTCCCAAATTCGATTACTGCTAACGCGTAGCCGCACGGTTGATGAATTTCAATTGTTTGCGTGCTAGACTTTCGCGGATCAGGTTGCGGTCCGTATACTGGTAAGAGCAGTGACTCCAAATCAAAGTAGATTACTCTGGGTACGTACCAACGAGCTGTTAAGTTT